AATGAAGCATTTGTCTAGGAGTTCCTGGAGTTGGGTTTTTAGTTCTTTTAATTCCATCATTCACATACGGTAAGGAGTTTTGGAGATCAATTATGTACTGGATTGAGGTTCAATGGTGAATTCGATTTCTCGATCAACTAAAGTACCTGGTAAGTCTTCAGGAAAAATGTCAGGAAATTCTCGAACAACAAGCATTGAATCGAGTGTTGGGTCTATTTGTTGAATGTCGACCACATAACAAATACAACCAGCATAAGCTTTTCTCAAAATTCCTTAGGCTATCACGAAGGATATCAAATACGGAGGGGTAGAAACTCTAATTCCTTCGAAGACCAGCTCGCATTAGTCAGGTAACTAAAAAAAGATCTTTTTGGTCGTACAGTCAATAGAGGCATGGTTGGTGGCAAGCCAATCCATTCCAAAATTACTAATGTAGAGGGAAATCAGATCCACATACAAAGTTTCATCTTTTAGAGATATAGCACAAGACGTGTATACTTTCGTACAAAGTGTGGAGACACCAGATGGAAAGCCACAGATAATGCATATCCCAATCGTTCTGGTGTTGATGTTAACATGGGAACAAAGTGTAGTGCAACAAAAGAATGAGTGGAATGAGAGTCAATAAGAACATGAGCTAAGTGACCACAAAAAGAAAGTGTACATGCCACAACGTTTTCCGTAGCATTAGAATTTTCGGATACTAAGGCAAAAGCTCTCCCTTGGCGCTTCTGTTCTTTCTTCACTCCTGTGGTTGTTCCTAGTTTCTAAAGTAGTTCAGAGGTACCCATCACAGAGTTGGTGAATTTTGGGCAATCTTTCACCAAATGGCCAAATTGGCCACGTCTATAACATGCTTCTATTGCCCAATAACACTGTCCCCTATGAGCTTTCCCGTAACTCAGACAATTCGGAATGGTGCTACCCATGGGAATAGTAAAAACTTTGGTGGGCTGAACCAGTTGAGCTAGTAGGTCCGGTATTTACTCTCTTTGGTGCGGCTGCCCTAAATCCTCCGACCAGTTCCCAAGATCGTTTCTTTTGACCCATTCCACTTCAATGTGCGGTTTTAATTCCTTTCTCGGTGATGTATGCTCAATCCACCACCTCTGTATAGGTTGGTTGTTTGAAAACCTCAAGCCTATCTTTGATTTCAGCATCCAGTCCTGCTTCAAATTTCCTTGCTTTTCATGCTTCTGTCAGAATAACATATGATGAAAATCATGCTAGTTGGGTGAACTTACTTTCGTATTCCACCACCGACATTGTTCCTTGCCTCAAATGTAGGAACTTTGATGTCTTCTACTCCCGTAGTGATTATGGAAAATACTTTTCATAGAACACATCTAGGAATCTTGCCCAAGCTACGATCTCTTCCTTTTCCAAGGTGAGAAGCCACCATTGTTGCGCATCTTCCTTGAGAGTGAAAGTGGTGAAGGACACTTTCTATTCTTCTGTGCTTTTGTGCAGGGTAGGGCACGAAAAATCTCCTCCATTTCTTTAACCCACATTTCAGCTAGTAATGGGTTTGAGCCTCCTGTGAACATGGAAGGTTTCAAATCTTGGAACTATTTAATCGTAGTTGTCCCTTCACAATGTTCTAGTAACCCAGTATTTTGCAAGGCTTGCAAGAAACTAGTAACAGCTCTTTCCATAATCTTTTCCATTGGATCGGCTCCATTAGATGATGATCCGGTACCATTTTCATCGTTAGCCATAACTATAAATTAATAGTTTTAATAAACATGGTGCATGATTTCCTATTAATTATCTAATTTAAAACATGTTCACATAATCTACAAAACATAGTTCACAAGACAATATATACATTACTCACAAAATACCGGTTTTATTTATCTATAAAGGTGTTGGTACATTACTTGTAGTTATGTCAATTTAGTGCCTAGCCCTCCATGACAAAATGGGTTAGAACTAGGTCATGGTCAGCTCACTTTTACAACAAGCAAAAAAGGAAAAAAAAAAAAAAAAAGAGAAGAAAAACACAAAAACAACAAAAGAAAGGATCTTGTTCTCGAGATTTTAGACTGAAAATAACCATGGGTACTACAATTGCATATGATGTTCAAACTCCCAATCGCTCAGCTCGATACCAAAGCATCACCACACCACCTCCACTCGGTAAATGGGGATGTCTTCCGCGTAACCCCATAGTTGTCGTCCCGTGATACCCATAGGCACCTCCACATGTGTCATAATATCACGAAAATCAATCGTCTGAGTATCAATCAGGTTGCGAGGGGGAGGGACTCTTACTTGAATATGGTCACTTAAGAAGGCATTCCCTTGCCAAGCCATAAACTCTAAAGGTAAAGGTGCCACTAAGTAGCGAGGATATCCCTTACTTAGGGCCATGCCTACTACCCGTGTTGGCCCCAAAAACCTGTTTAGTGTACTCATAGCATCAATCCTCCACCACTGTGTATCTACCTCTGTGGGGATGACCCTTAAGTATACTGGTCGGCCCATTAGTTGGTTGAGGGTCGGGTCCACCTATCTAACTATTTCCTCTAAATCTCCTATTTCCTCTGGTAATTCTAAAACGTAACTGCTATTTTCAAAAATTCCTTCAAAGTTAGGACGATGAGGCCCATACCAAAAAGAGTCGCTAAAGTTAAATTCCGACATTACCTGCACCACAGGATACCCAACTCAGCTATAGAGCTAATAAAAGACTATAATCATAAGGACTAAGGTAAGATTTTTCTTATCTTGTTTTCTAATGGTATGTATATCTTCTTGCTTAATGGGTCCTTTTTTTTTTTTTTTTTTTTTTAAACATTGCTCTGATACCACTTTGTCACGACCCATCCTAGTGACCAGGGCAGGATTCACAACTAGTTAATTTCTAAAATTTCTCAGATTAATTCTAAGTAATTAAATTAAATAATGCAACATAATGAAATAAAAGATGTAGATAAATATTTGAAGCGTACATGGAAATTATTATTTATGTAACGATGTAATGTCAGTCAGATAGTGATTATAAGTAAATACATATTATAACATAAGTCAGATAATAATTACAAGTAAATTAAAAAAAAAAAATGATGTTCATATCAAATCTGGGTTTTGATCAATGGGGTAAAACCATCATTCTTTAAGTTTCTTCACCTAAAAGGGGTTTTAACAGTCATAAGCACATGGTAGAGTAGGAATATTATACTAAGAGTATAAGGATATATAAACCACCATGGATAATTATTTAGGATAAACAATGAATAGTTTGGTTTGAATAAATTATTTTAAATAATAGACATATAATACAAAAATTGTATATGCAAAATAATCATAACCACGGTATAGAACAGAACATAACGGAGGGTCAATGGATCCATAACAAATAGAGGGTCACAACATGACTAATCAGAGGGTCAATGGTTATTTAATTCCCCCAAGGCATGGGACCGTCAGAGGGTCACTAAAGTGACAATTCAGAGGGCCAATGGTTATTTAAGTCCCCCAAGGCATGGGACCGTCAGAGAGTCACTAAAGTGACAATTCAGAGGGCCAAAAGTTATTTAAGTCCCCAAGGCATGGGACCTCTGTGGTGGCACTTATAAAAATAAATGGTTATGTACTCATTGTCAAATAAATTCCAAAATTTAAACAATCATATCCATGAGTTTCAATTTTTAAATAAGCAGGGCTCATAAAATGAATAACATAATTAAATGATAATATAATTAAAAAAATGTGATTAGCATAAAATAATTTATACAATAATAAAATATTTTGTGGCTACTCAAGGTATAATATAACTCACCTTAATATTGACTTAATTTTTACTTTCCTACTATGGGTCCCCGCTATTACTTGTATGCTGCACCTCAGTTTATTTCTTTTTCCTAATGCATAGTAACTCTACTCAATAACTATTTATAGTTGGTGAATATGCTTCATCCCTCAATAACTTTCAATGTGTGGCAACGTGTGGCATGTTTAAATTCGGCCACCAGTCCAACAGGTGCGACTTTGCCCATTCCTCTGCACGTCGCTTAGGTGTTGCAAAGCTATGCATGTCACCAAAGCTATGCATGCACACTTCCCATCCTATATGCTAGGCTGAAGGCCTAGCGGGATGTTTTTATTTTTTAATTTTTAATTTTTTTTTCTCAAATTCCCATTATTTACCTGGGCCCATAGATTCATTTCTTTCTTAAGAACTAAGTCCAATTTTGAGTTCAATTTTTAATTTGTATTCTACCACTAACAATTTTATTAAATGTATAGTTAATACATGGTGAAATTAATCAAATAATTTGGTGTCACAACAACAGTATGTTGCTGGATGATGTAAGTTTGATTTTTAGTTGAACTTTCTACTTTTAGTAGCAAAATCAAAACATAAATTATTACATCAAATATATATATATATATATATATAATATCCAAACATGAATGTCAAGTTTAAAACAATAAATTCATGTTCCATGTAGCTAATTAAGGAGGACTGTAGTACATATGCATTTAGGCTTAGATTGCTTGAGACATCACAATCTTAGAGCTTGAAATTAATGTGATGCACATAGCAAAGCCATAGGGATTGACGATTACAAGCTTACAATCCATAATTCTATTTAGGGAAAAAAAAGAAGAGGAAACCTCCACATCATTGAGGCATAAAGACTCAAGATCAATCACCTTTTCATTATGGAATCCTATTTATTTTATGATGAATACATATGTATCAGGACAATTACTAGAATCAAAAAATATTTAGTATAGCTCATTTTCATCATAGTGCATTAGAATATCAAAATTCATAATTCATAAATACACTACAGGAAAAATGAGTTTTGGCGACGTTTATTTAACGGCGTTTTATAAAACGTCACATTTTATAACATTTAACGACGTTTCTTAAACGTCGCTGTTTTAAAAAATAAAAACGGCACCGTTTCACGCGTTTAAAAACGCCTTCGATTGTCCTCTCTCTCTCCCTTAAATGGGCAACCCTATCGGGTTTGTAATTGTATTAGACTAGCTTGCACTTGCAAAATAGGCATAACAGCAGCTGAGTAAAATCCAAATTAGAAAATTTTATGGTGTAAATAGACCTTGTGTTGTGGGAGATTAGCCCAAATGCATATAACTTGCAATTACACAAACTTCCTTTTAGAAAACTTTATGATTTGTTTTCTTGATGTATTCTTGCGGACGAATCACATATACCAAGCTAAGTCGGAGTATTGTTTATTTCTCAAGATCAAACATTAGATCATCTCTGTCTGGACTATCCTATATTCTGCTGGATTTTGTTTTAGAAGGTGCCTCTCGACTGGTCTTTAACCGGCCCGGAACATATTGGTAAGTTGTAGCCTCCTTATTAATCTAGTCCATCTTTGTTTCATCTACGATAAGAAAACGAAAACGACTAAAAAAACAACAGTGTTTTCAAACTTTTCATCTAAGGTACATACATCTTCCTTTATTCTTCTTGGAGGTTTGCAGGTGATTTCAGTGTCTGGTCCACCATCAAGATATGCTGAGAAGTGGCTAGAAGATCAGCATTATTCATCTTTTTGCCAGGTTAAATGTACTTGAATATTCACTTCCATGTTAGTGAATCAAATGTGACTTTATTCTCTTTTTTTCTTTTTTGTATCATAGGTTATATGCGTCTGACATTTATAGCAGTTCTCCAGTTTTTCAATATTTGAGGTTTATTTGATTCCTTCTTTAGACAAGTAGGAAAATCTATGCAATATCAAAGGGTGCTCAAAATTAATAGTTTAATTACTTAACATGTCCAAGCACATTGTATTGCGGAGGTAGTGTAAGAAACACATACACTTCTAAAAAAGTATGTGTCTATGTTGGAGAATGACACTTGGACATGCTTTATGCCAATGACACTCCTCATGCTCTAAGCCTCCTACACATTTCAGACATGCCCCGATATGTGTTGGACATGCATTCAAACATGTTCTATTATTTGAAAAAAAAAAAAGAATTGAGCACACTTCATGAAGAAAAATAAAAGTGGAACAACAGATGATGTACAATAACATGTTCATGAAGTGTTGCCAATTCTGATTTTTTTGATAGCTGGGATGGTATTGTATTGTATGAAATTTATTAATTCATTGAGACTGATTCTCAATATCTGATACTGGTTGGAGGGATAGTTGAATGCTGAAGTTGAAGCAATGAAACAATGAAACATCATTCATCAGTAGGTAAGAAATAAGATCATGGTAATTTGTCATAAAATCACTAATTACCTTCAACTTAATAAAATTATGATGTATATAACCCTCATGTGGGGAAGAGATCCATTCTTATGCACAAATATTTATGTTTACACCAAAACTGGTTGCAATACAGTTGCTTGTGTGATTGATGAATTTTTGCAGTAAAAGCCATTAACAGAGCTATGTGATGCTTCCCAAAGCTCCAATTTTCTGGCTCATCGTTAAGTAGTACATTACAATTATTGTGGTAATCAGTTTTAATTGCTATGGAAATCGGGTTTGTAATTGTATTAGACTAGCTTGCACTTGCAAAATAGGCATAACAGCAGCTGAGTAAAATCCAAATTAGAAAATTTTATGGTGTAAATAGACCTTGTGTTGTGGGAGATTAGCCCAAATGCATATAACTTGCAATTACACAAACTTCCTTTTAGAAAACTTTATGATTTGTTTTCTTGATGTATTCTTGCGGACGAATCACATATACCAAGCTAAGTCGGAGTATTGTTTATTTCTCAAGATCAAACATTAGATCATCTCTGTCTGGACTATCCTATATTCTGCTGGATTTTGTTTTAGAAGGTGCCTCTCGACTGGTCTTTAACCGGCCCGGAACATATTGGTAAGTTGTAGCCTCCTTATTAATCTAGTCCATCTTTGTTTCATCTACGATAAGAAAACGAAAACGACTAAAAAAACAACAGTGTTTTCAAACTTTTCATCTAAGGTACATACATCTTCCTTTATTCTTCTTGGAGGTTTGCAGGTGATTTCAGTGTCTGGTCCACCATCAAGATATGCTGAGAAGTGGCTAGAAGATCAGCATTATTCATCTTTTTGCCAGGTTAAATGTACTTGAATATTCACTTCCATGTTAGTGAATCAAATGTGACTTTATTCTCTTTTTTTCTTTTTTGTATCATAGGTTATATGCGTCTGACATTTATAGCAGTTCTCCAGTTTTTCAATATTTGAGGTTTATTTGATTCCTTCTTTAGACAAGTAGGAAAATCTATGCAATATCAAAGGGTGCTCAAAATTAATAGTTTAATTACTTAACATGTCCAAGCACATTGTATTGCGGAGGTAGTGTAAGAAACACATACACTTCTAAAAAAGTATGTGTCTATGTTGGAGAATGACACTTGGACATGCTTTATGCCAATGACACTCCTCATGCTCTAAGCCTCCTACACATTTCAGACATGCCCCGATATGTGTTGGACATGCATTCAAACATGTTCTATTATTTGAAAAAAAAAAAAGAATTGAGCACACTTCATGAAGAAAAATAAAAGTGGAACAACAGATGATGTACAATAACATGTTCATGAAGTGTTGCCAATTCTGATTTTTTTGATAGCTGGGATGGTATTGTATTGTATGAAATTTATTAATTCATTGAGACTGATTCTCAATATCTGATACTGGTTGGAGGGATAGTTGAATGCTGAAGTTGAAGCAATGAAACAATGAAACATCATTCATCAGTAGGTAAGAAATAAGATCATGGTAATTTGTCATAAAATCACTAATTACCTTCAACTTAATAAAATTATGATGTATATAACCCTCATGTGGGGAAGAGATCCATTCTTATGCACAAATATTTATGTTTACACCAAAACTGGTTGCAATACAGTTGCTTGTGTGATTGATGAATTTTTGCAGTAAAAGCCATTAACAGAGCTATGTGATGCTTCCCAAAGCTCCAATTTTCTGGCTCATCGTTAAGTAGTACATTACAATTATTGTGGTAATCAGTTTTAATTGCTATGGAAATCGGGTTTGTAATTGTATTAGACTAGCTTGCACTTGCAAAATAGGCATAACAGCAGCTGAGTAAAATCCAAATTAGAAAATTTTATGGTGTAAATAGACCTTGTGTTGTGGGAGATTAGCCCAAATGCATATAACTTGCAATTACACAAACTTCCTTTTAGAAAACTTTATGATTTGTTTTCTTGATGTATTCTTGCGGACGAATCACATATACCAAGCTAAGTCGGAGTATTGTTTATTTCTCAAGATCAAACATTAGATCATCTCTGTCTGGACTATCCTATATTCTGCTGGATTTTGTTTTAGAAGGTGCCTCTCGACTGGTCTTTAACCGGCCCGGAACATATTGGTAAGTTGTAGCCTCCTTATTAATGTAGTCCATCTTTGTTTCATCTACGATAAGAAAACGAAAACGACTAAAAAAACAACAGTGTTTTCAAACTTTTCATCTAAGGTACATACATCTTCCTTTATTCTTCTTGGAGGTTTGCAGGTGATTTCAGTGTCTGGTCCACCATCAAGATATGTTGAGAAGTGGCTAGAAGATCAGCATTATTCATCTTTTTGCCAGGTT